ACATGTGCTTATATTTGAATATTTTATTTGTTTGTTTATTCATTTGTTAATTCTTTCGTTCAGGTTTTATACTGGTTTTATACGCTGGGCACTTTTAAGAGTCAACTAAAAACATGGTTGTATGTTCAGGCCTTCCCTCCTGTCAATATTTAATTCTTTCTTTATTTTTCTTTCATTTATTATTTGTTTTATTATTGTATATGTTATGGACTGTTTGTAAAATTCTTATGTTTTCGTATACACCTTATTGGAAGCCGCCCAGAATGGTCGACCAGACCAGATAGGCGGGATATAAATCAAATAAATAAATAAATAAATACTGCCCATCTGACCAGTGGTCAGTCTGGGTGGTTCACAACACAAAACATAAACATAGTGTAACAAAGTGCTCCAAATTAAATTAATTTAAATTAAAAATTATTCCCTCATAGCAGTCTCTCCAATCTGTTTTCTTCTGATTTCTCAGCTGCAGTTTCCAACTGGATTGATGACTGAACTGGGGTACAGAAAATTTCAATTTCAATGTTTTCATTGTGAATATTAAAGTTAAACAATTCTTCCATAGTCATTATTTTTTCTTCTTAATATTCAACTATGATCCTGATTTTGCACTTTTTTCTTCAGCCTTCATCAGCAGTTGCTTTAAGTTATTGCTGTTTTCTGCCAGTAATATCACGCTTTCTGCACATCTTAAGTTGCTGATGTTTCTCTTGCCAGTTTTCATTTCTCATTCATCTGAATCTAATCCAGTTTTCCAGATGTTGTGTTCTGAATCTAAACTGAACAGAGAGATCTGAGATGCTTGCTTATTGGGAACCATTCTGTTTCTCTGTTTTCTGTTTTAACAGTACCCTCCTACCCAGAGTATAGTTTACACATCAGTACAGTCAAATGTGGTATACAGGTTTACACTGGGATAACAAAAAGTGGCAACATTTAGTGATTTATGCATGATCATATTCTGGGCCTCTAAATCTGAATAGCAGTACTGTACAGTACTTGCTTTCACCCATCCTGGGATCAACATCACTGATTATTGTGTCTTCTGTGCTCCTCCCTGCTGCCTACATACAGGGAAATCTGCAATCAATATTTCACAAGAAACTATGCCACACAGGAAAGCACAGATTTGTCTGTGATAAAGAAAGGCAATTCACTGACCAGAATGTTGTTTGTTCTGCTCTAATATTGTTTCTGATTGACTCTAGCAAATATTATACGACCTGAACAATAGGTGCAGATACAGAGAAACAGGACTGCAATGTGGATGTCCCACCAGATGGCGTAAGGCTGCAACTCCCAATCACACTAGCAGCATAGGCAAAGATCAAGGATGATGGGAGTTGCAGTCAAATAGCATTTGGAGGGCCACAGGTTTCCCATCTCAGCCTACAGTGTAACCTCAGTTTTCCTCGCTCAAAGCAATAGTATAGGTGGGTGGGGAGTGTTTGGGAATTTTATGTGTGTGCATGTGTCTGGTCTCTGGGTATCTGTGAATTTCGTTGTATGTGTATATACTTACAATGACAATAAATTATTATTATTATTATAGGTTTGCGATGTGGACTAGAGCAGTGGTCCCCAACCTTGGGCCTCCAGATGTTCTTGGACTACAACTCCCAGAAGCCTTCACCACCATCTCTGCTGGTCAGGATTTCTGGGAAATGAAGTCCAAAAACATCTGGAGGCCCAAGATTGGAGACCACTAGACTAGAGGGACCCGATCTTCAAGACTTGATAAAATATATAGTTCCTCCACCTTTTATCTGGTCCGAGATGCATCACCAATTAGACCATGTTTCAGAAGTGGTACCTTTGATATTCACAAAAAGACTAGCTGGTTCCTGTCTCCTTTTTTCCTGCATTTTTTTGAGACAATCAGGTAGCTTGGCCAATAGAGAGAGATAATTTCAAATCAGCAATTCAGCTCTGACAACAATTAACTGACTCTTGACTTTGCTTGGGATCTTCTTGACCAGCAGATCTGCCTCTGTTGTGAATTTAACTTCATAGCAGTTGAGAACAAGCAACTGCTAAGCCCTACTCATTTGCCTTTATACAGCCCGATTCTGTATAAAGACACAGAAGCGGAATAACAAAAACAGACACTCATGTTGATCTTCTTTAATAACCTTAATAGGATGCATTGATCATTCTGCATTTGATGACCACATACTATGATCCCATGCTATCTTTGACAAGGAGTTTGTTGTGTTCATGATATATTTGTGATATTTGGAAGTTGAGCTGCACAAGGAGAACCCAAGAGATTTCAAGAAGAGACACTGAACATAAATAAACAACTTACACAGCTGTCTTCAGTGCTTAGAAAATATATCAGCAGGCTCCAGAAAAGACTCTGGTTCTTCTCAGGAGGTCATCATTCTCACAGAAGCATGCATTTCCTCATGACCTGGAGCTCATGAAGTCTGACAGCAAAGATGAGCTCATCTCTTAGTCCATCATATTAGTCCAACACACTCTCTTTTCATCTGTCCTAAAAAACTGCTGGAAAGATACACTTTTTTTTTACATCGGCAGAGGATATGAGTACTTTTAGAATTTTGAAAATACTTTTTTGTTTGCTTTTCTGTCAGAGAGTCAATAAATAGCAATGTTACATGGCATAAATCAGAGATGGGCAATGCTGATGGACCAAGGAGTCACATTTTGTTCCCCCCCAAGGGTTTCATCATAAATAAAAATGAATGAATGAATGAATGAATGAATGAATGAATGAATGAATGAATGAATGAATGAATGAATGAATGAATGAAATACTGAGAAATAAAATCAGGAGTCCCTGGACAACACTTTACAGTTTAGGATGTGGGGTGCTGGTGGTTTGGGAATCTGGTATGGTCCCTTCAGTAAAGAGTAAAAACACCTACTCCAGAGGCAGAAATAGCCATCTTCTGTTGTTCTTGTTTTTCAATTTCTATTGCCCAGAAGATAGCCTGGAGGAGTCACAAAAATGCTGCTGGGAGCTACAGGTGGCCCAGAAACTGCCCTTTGCCCACTGCTAGTGTAAACAAGAGGAAACTGGGAACTGAAATAAACCAACACTCTCTAGGGCTCTTGGTATCTTAAGTACTGTAAAGTCTTTTTATTATTATTTTTTAGAGTAATCAGTATCATTTTCTTAGCTTTCAAACACATACACTCCATCCCCCACACTGATATTAATTTTAGTTGAAGAGCTCCAGGAGTCCAAATAAATGCTTGATAGAATCAGTATTCCTGCACATGGTAAATCACCATAAGAAATCAAAGGTCAGTGGAACATTTACCATCACCCTCCCTTTTTTTTCTTTTTTCTTTTTCTTTTCTTTTCTTTTTTTTTTTTTTTAGGGATCCCCGTTTACCAGTCTTGCGGTCTATTTCTATCCTATGCAAATCGGCTACTCTGAGCCGCGTTAGGAGTTCCTCGCTGTGTTTACCATCAGCGTGGCTTAAAGACGGTTCCCCTCTTGTCACTTTAGATTTTCCAGCACCATGGAGAGCTCACGTTAGGCTCAGAGGGACGACTCTTAAGCAGCATCTTCAGCTCGCGTTGCCAATCCGCTGTACCTTGGCTTCTAGCGACACATCCATTCATAAAACCGAAAGATGAGTAGTGGGGGGTGGTGTGGGGGTGTAGAGTAGGATGTGATACATCTTTGGGAACGCGCGCCTGAACCCCCGACAACGTCCAGCATTGAACAGGGTGTCCCAGTGCCTTATTGGCCACCTCCTGATGTTGTTATTTTACTGGGCAGTGCCAGATGCATCTTTGAAGAGGCGATGACATTGACAGGGTGCTTGGCAGGAAAAGGGCTTTTATTTAAAATGACCCTTTGTTCCCAGATCAGGTAGATTGCTCATTGAGAAGCACCCTCGGCACAGACCACCAATCTATACCTTGGACAACTCGTTCCACCTCTCGCTCTGCCTCACACACGTTGAAATGTCTGCCCATGGCACAATAGCAACAGCCGCCACCACAACCCTTCTCCAACCGGCTTCCCTGGTCATCCACCCGGTNNAACAAAAGCTCCCCCCCCCCCCCCCCCGTTATCGGTGTCTGAAAGGTCTGCCCAGAAAACAGGATGGGATGGGTTCGCACTATAGGTCGATCCTTCTCTGAGCTTCCCTTAGCAACACCACCGCGTTCTGGCTGTCCGGGATCTCGGGAGCCTACCCCTCGAAATATACAGAATATCTGGATGCACGACCGAGGAGAAACCTTTTTTTTTAAAATTCCTCCTTTTCCTTCATTCATATTTATGAACCGCCTGAATATTTGATGAAAAGGCTGAAGAACAGGCGAGGCAGGTTGGGGCGGGTGTGCGTGCGTGTCTCTGCCTCTCTCTCTCTCTCTCTACCTGCACGCCTGTCTCTTCGGTTTTGGTTTTGTTTCCCTCGCACTAGGTTTCAGTAGCATCTGTCCGAAGATTTCAAGCGTACAGTAGCTCCCCCTTCCCGCCCCTTCCTGGACCCCCCCCATACGTATATCTATCTATATGCCTTTCCCCCACCATTTCTGATCATAATAGTGATGATGATGATCATCATCATCATCAGAATGGTGCATGTTGTAGGAAGGATTGGAGCGGGCAGCCGGAGAGAAAGGGATTAAGGCGAGTGCGCTAGAAGTTAAATTGTGCTGCATATTAAAAAAAAAAAAGGCGGATTGCTCGCTCTCGCTCGCTCGCTCGCTCTCTCTCCCTGTCGATGAGAGCTTGGTACCACCTTCCTTTCTAAAATAAAATCTCCCTGGCATGAAGTCACAGCCTATTTCACATCCGGTTTACCCCGGGACGTACTACTACTGTCTTGGTAAAGAGTGAGGCTCTTTTTGTTGTAGAGCTGCGAGCCGAAGCCCCGGGAAAGGCAATTTGGGGGTTTAAAAAAAAAAACACCGAAGAGCAAGGCGGCAGCGGCACGACCAGCAGCAGCAGCAGCACCACCACCAACAGCAGCAGCAGCAACGGCGGCGGCGGCGGCGGCGGCAGCGGCACTAACAGCAACAGCAGCAGCAGCAGCAGCAACAGCGGCGGCGGCGGCGGCGGCGGCAGAGTCCATGATGGCTGAGAGCGAGTGAATGAGCGAGGCGAGAGCCGCCCGAGTCTCCTCTGCCGCCGCCGCGCTCTCGGCGCCCTGTACTCCGCTCGCAGCCCGCGCTTCTCGGGCGCTTCTCTCCGGCAGGCTTGGCCAGTGCATCGGGGACGCCGTGGCCGGAAGGTCCCTAGGTAACCGGAGCTTTTTCCTCCCTGATGGGTCTGACGGGGAGCCCATCTCTCTCTCTCTCTCTCTCTTTCCCCCCCTCCCTCCGGGAAGAGCATTTCTGGTCGGCAAGGATTGAGGGTGGCTTTCTTTCCTCCCAAAGCAGGTACCTCGGC